CATGACATTCATTAATTTTACCCTACATTCATTTTTTCCCTTTGCCATTGAATAGGTCTGTTTGTATTCCACTTCCCTTTTCATAACTTTTGGGGGACATTAGGAATAGTCTGTCAATTCTACCCAGAGTATCTTCCGTAAAACCCATAATTAAGCTCCTAAAAAACATCTGTGCAACTTGATTCCTAACTCTTTGTAACTGTGGTGCTTAGGGACATGGTTTAGGGTTGGACTTGATCTTAAAGGTCTTTTTCAACCTAAATGAGTCTATGATTCTTATCCATTGTGTCATATTCATAAACTAGATTGTGGAGAATTTGTTGTTGTGTGCTCAGAAAGATTAAAAGGTGACTGAAGAGGGCAACAAAGCTTGTCTATACACAGCAGCTGACTATAAATAATTTTATAATGCCATTTAGAATAAAGGTGTTGCATTGCTAGTAAGAAAGAAAGCAAAAATATGGCTTTAAATTAATAAAGATAATCTAAACCAACAGCTTTTGTACTTTAGTGAAAATTCAGAAAACTCAAAACTTTTCTCCAAAGCCAGCATTGACATTCCAGATACTTTCATTGCAGCCAGCATGAGGAAGCCAGTACACATTGATATCACTGAAGATGTAAAAATACCTGTTAGGAGGCACAACATAGAGCTTCCCACATCACCACTGCATACACAACGTATGCCTAACTTAGATGCCATCCAGAACAGGTACTTGTATAAAACAAGCTATAGTTAAGTTATAATAAAGTCCTGGAAAAGGTATTTCTTTTTGGTGTTATATCTGGGCTATTAAGTAAACATAAATATACCATTCTAAGATGAAGAAGTTTTACAGTCACTCATGGCATTCCTGTAATACTCTTTCTATAACAGAATAAATGTATTCTAAATAAAAAACTGCACAAAGCTGAGAGATTAAAAAAAAAAATGTTTACTTAATGTCAGGTACAGACACTAAGTTTATCTACAGAGCTGGCTATTCAAACAGCCTTTTCCACTTACACTGTTTTCCCATTCAACTTCAGACACCCTAAAAGTGACTGACTAACACAGTGACTGCTCATAACTGCTTAAGAATTAGGTCTGTTTAATATGCGTGGAAAGATATTCTTGTATTATTTTGAAATTAATACTCAATGCTCTTAATCTTATAGATCTTATATCTTGTATATCATAGGCTGTTTTTATTCATTTTACAAGGTTACAAAAGCAAGTTTTGGACAGCAGAAGGCAGCATCTCTCCGAGAAAATAAAATGCCAGCATAATGTGAGTGTATCATTCTCACAGATGTAAAGCTAAAAATGTGAAGCATTTTTTAAGTGATTTTTTCAAAGAGTGACCCAATCTCATGGATGCTGAATTGTGAAGTCTTCTTTAAGGCTATATTGATATGTTACTTGCTAGTCATATCCATTCATGCCGTTTCCTACGTATTTCTTGAAAAGCTCACCTTTATGCTAGAAGCTAGTCACAAAGGACAGAGACCGTGGGAAAGAGACTGAGGCCAACAGCAGAAAATTAAAAACAATATGCAGAAATGTGAAATGATGACATGTAAGCAGCATAGACAAAAGCTGAATCTTGAAGAGGAACTTTCAAGTCTTAGTGGATACAATTGTGAAGTTCATGCAGTCATTGAGGTTACAGTGAAAAACATTCTCTAGATGGATTTAAAGTGGTTTTTTTTAAGACCCATTCCACTGTTGCACAAAAAACCCAATTAAACAACAACAACAAAAATATAATCCCCCCAAACAAGCTAGTAATTCTGTTAGAAAACACTTAGTTTGGGTAGCAACGTAGCTGTAGTCACAGTGACATTCCATGAGTTTTGCCTTCAAATTTCTACTTGTGTTCTGATCTGCTTGAAATAGCATTGTTGGTATCACAACATGTTGGAGGTGTCTCTTCAATGGAGTCAAGTATTTTCATTTTACTATCTAGGAACCAAGTCAGCTGATCATTTACCTACACATCTAGTGCTAAAATTGTATTTATACCCATCTGTCCTCAGGATAACATTTGTGTGCATACTTCAGTTTAAAGTAGGCGCTTAGGTTTTTCCCTGAAATAAGTCCTTATTACTGTATGATTTCCATGAAAAAATCCTATCAGAATACCTGAAGCTTTTCTCTTGCTGTTGTATACGTGCAGAGATGTAAAGAATATAAAAAGGTTTGATTACTTCGAACTTTATGCTGACATCAGAACATTTTTAGGTAAATAAAATGTCTCTCTGCTATGTTTTGTCTAGGTACCACAAGTAACAGAATTAACATATGCTGACTCTAGTATGGAATGTGAAGACAGCACAGCAAGTGCTTTTAGTGCCTGTCCATTGTCTTCTTCTGTTTGTTGGTCCTCTAACTGTACACAACTTTCAGAAGAAAATTTGAGCACAAACCTAATGAGTAATACTTGGGAACAGACCTATGAAGAGAAGCTGCAAAACCAGGTTTGATGAATATTTTGTCATTTCCACAGAGTTATTTTAAACCAACATTCATTTATTTGGGGTATAAAATTAGTGTAGTGGTGAAGATAATTGTAAACAATCAGCATTTCCTGTAGGCTGGTATTGACAATGAATATTCCATATATAGAAATGTAGTTCTTTTATTGTTACGAAATGCACTTGAGATTTTGTTCGCTGAGCTTCCAGTATCACTAATATTTGCAGAAAGAGAGAGAGTCACATACAACTACCTTGCTTTTGTTTCTGGCTTGTAAAGTTGCTTAAAGAAAGCTGAAATGTATTACAATTATAAATACAGCTTTCTTAACTGTACAGTTAGTGTAACTGGGTATAGTTATAATCTCAGGTGATCACCGTGACCTGATTTGTAATCATGCAGTGAGTAACGTAGTTCTTACAGTATTCATTTCTGTCCATGAAAGGCTTATCGAGCTATACCTCCCGGAGGCAATTGCAAGGTACATAAAGATCAAGAGGGTGACAAGGTAACAAGGAACAGCCATCATACTATGCCTGTTGAACCTGATTGCTTTCTGTGATGAAATTACTAGCTCTATGCATAAGGGAGAGCAGCAGGTATTTATTTTGACTTTAGGAAGGCTTTTAACAATGCTTCTCGTGGGATCCTTGTAACCGAAGTGGGGAGGTACGAACAAGATGAGTGGATAAGATGGGTAAAGATCTGGCTGTAACAATCATGCTCAAAGTAGTTGTCTATTGGCTAAAGTCTAATTGATAACAGGTTAGTAATGGCAGGAATCCCCAGAGATTAATACCAAGTCCACTACATCTTTATTAGAGACTTGTACAGGGGAACAGTGTGCACCCTCAGCACTATAACAGGTTCATGTGTCACACAAAATAGGCAGAGTGATCATTATGTTAACAGGGCTGCTGTTCAGTGGCATCCTGACAAGCAGATGTCCACCATGAACTTCATAGAGTTTAACACAGAGAAACCCCATGCATCAGGTGACTGATTGAGTAGGTAGCAGTTTTGCAGGGAAGGGCCTGAGGGTGCAGCTGGGCAGAAAGTTGTCCATGAGTCAGCAGTGGGCCCTTGTAGCAGCAAAGGCCAACTACACAGAGGGCTGTATTAGAAAGCGCATAACCAAGCAGTCATAGGGAAGTGAGTATTTCCCTCTGAGCAGCATCTGTGACAACACACGTGAAATGCTGTGTCCGGTTTTGGAACTGCCAGTACAAGAGAGAGACCAACAAACTAGCAAAACCAGCGAAGTGCCACAAAAATTTTCAGGGGATTGGAGCACGTGATGACTGTGGAGAGACAGAGCAAAGATTTGTGTGGCCTGGGAAAGAGAAGGCTATGAAGATGTGGGGTGAACTAGCTGCTGTCTTCCACAGTCTAAAATGGCTTATAAACAAGGCAGAGCCAGAGGTACTCAGCAAAATGGCAAGAAGTAAAAGTTGCAAGTTTCAACAGTGGAAATTCTGTTTATATGGGAAAAAATATTGTCACAAAAGTAGCTAAGTACCAGAAGAGGCCATCCAGACAGGTTGCAGAATCTTGGTCCTGAGCAATCCTGAGCAATCTGGATGAACCTTGAAGCTGGCCCTGCTTTGATTCAGGTTGGACTAAACACCTCTGGAGGTCCCTTCCAGACAAGAGCTTGCAATGGTGAATCAATCTTCAGTGGAACTTCAGCTTGTTACAGGCTATCAAGCTTGTTCATAACATGGGAGGATGGGGTGCTCAAAAGACATTTTGCATAATAACAGTAATACATAAATATGGAAAAGTATGAGTTATACAGTACTCAGGCTGTAAGGAGATGTGGGCTTCTACTGTAAAGATAAAAATAAAAAGAGTAGGAAAACATGTATATTGTTTGCAAACCCAACTTTAAAGTTTTAAGCACTGTAACTGCTAAACATATTCAGATTTTGACAGCTTCTACTATTTTTTTCAGCCAGGAAATAGTTCTGATCAAGACCCTTGGGTTACAGAACCTCCAAGCCAGTGTATTTTCAGGGAGTCTGATACAGTGCCTCAGGAACTGTTAAAGCCATTGCATAGGTAGGAAGTGATTTTACACTAATGAGAGAAATAACGGTCAAGTTCAAGTAAGAAAAACTCTAAGATAATCTGAAGATTATTGCTACTTGATTTTTCACTGATTTTGGTGCTTTTCAAATAGAAATGAAATGGAAAGACTGAACATGCCAAGCTATTTAAATTTGCTAGAAGCAGAAAAATATTAAGTAGGCCCTTGGCACCGTGATCTATTTTTTGCAACATCACAAACATGATGGTATTATAGGATTCACCCCAAGCGAGAAGCATGGATTTGCTAAGAAGCCACAGGCAGGGAAGCTGCCCCGCTCTCATTAGTTCTGTCTGCTTTTTGTTGATGACCTTGATGCTGTAGTCATTAGCAACTTCTCCACCTACATTGTTTATATATGGGATTCCATGAACACAGCATTTTATTTTTCCATATGTGCCTACTATAGCTTTTTTTAAAAAAACCACAATTGTTTCAATAACACTTTTATGAGAATATACACTTTGTTTCTAAAAGAATGGATAGAAATCTAGAATACATTTCTTTTTGTATATGCTTATTAAAAATCCCTTTAATCACAGAGGATTTAGGGCCAGACTTGTTTATACAAAACACTTTATTTTAGTTTCTTTCCAGGGCCTTTTGCCTGGAATCTAGGGACCTTACAGGGCTCATTTTTCTTTACTCTTTCTATTCTGTAAGTAGGTCTGCTGTCTGGTTGAAAGTTCCTGTCAGTCTCTAGCTTTGGCTGAATGGAGCCATAAAAAGGCCATATGTTATTTTGCCGTTCTGAAGTATCTACAGCCTGTAGGTACCTCCCTGTTTGCCCAGGGAGTCAAGTAACTGATAAACTCACTGACCACATGATAACTAGGTGAATGCATCAGCTTCCAGTCTTAGCCACCTTAACTTTCTCTATTCTCTTAGCTTCTCTCAGCTTTCTCCAGCAAAACCCAAAATGAGGGTAACCTTCGCCTTGCTATGTATCTTGATGAATTCCTGATTAATATCTTTACATTAAACCCTATATAACCTCATCTTGCCTACATCTCCCTTTTCATTTCTCCACAGGCCCTCAGGCCTGCACTCATCTGCTTACGGCACTTCCATTACTCTTCTGCCCATTCATGGCTCACTAACAACATCTTCCCAGCTGATCTTCAAATCCATTTCTTTGCATCATGCTTGATTTGTTTTCATCCATTGTAGCCATAAATTCTTCTATCTCAAGAGTTGATAGTTCTACTGGGAAGGAAGTTCCTCTCACTGTATATGAAAAGTAGAGTACAAGTTTACACAATTGTATAATATAATTGTAACATACCAATGATACAGCCAGGATGCATACATGAGAACTGTGGCACCTCAAGATCATTAAATATTAACTAAAAAATTTAAATGTTGCATTTCATCATCTGCTACCAACTTTTACTTAGCATTACAAAATGTTCAGCTGGAATAAAGAAGGAGCCTCTGAATTGCTTCACAAAATGGTTTTAACTTCCTCATGTAGATCAACCCAGGTTTCTCCAGAAACAAGCTCTAGTGTGTTTTGCCTTTTCAAACTGTTCTGGGGAGGTTTCGGTATGAAGAGGGCACCACTTTCTCATTTAAGTTCTCTAGTATCTTCATCCAGTTGCAGGTATTCACTGATCAAACCATTACAGATTTTTTTTTTTTCCCTGTAAGAGTTTTCTGTACCTTATATCAGTTTTCAAGTTCCATTAATAGCATTGCTCTATCTGCTTTAAAGAAAGGGCATTTTTTTGAATGGCCTTTGCCAATTTCCTGTGCTTCAGATGCCTCTCAATTCTTTGCTGAAAGGTCAGTCACCAGATCAAGCCTAGAAAAGAGCTGTGAAAGTGTTAGGAGCCAAGTAAGTGAAAGCATGACAGCTTTTGTGCGAATGATGCTATGGCAGCATCTTCCAAACCACTTCTATCGAAAGTGGGCAAAACAAAATGTCTGACTGGCCTCCTGACACAGGAACAGAAAAATCCCATGCTGAATTAGGATTACTGCCCTCAAGTACAAATGGAAGTCACTTGCTAAGGAGACCAGGATTCAAGCAGTACACAAAGTTTATCATAGGCTTTCAGTACAGGAGAGAACCGTAGTCTTGAAGAACAAACTATTTTTGTGAAAGGAAGAAGCTGTCTTCCTCTTTTCTTTCTTTTTTCCCAGTGGCCTTCTCTGGTCAGCTGGTGGAGCAGCAGTGACATACTGTGGCTGATTTTATAAACCACACTTCCATACTCAGGAGGGTGTGTGTGCTCCATGTCTTGGTGTTTGGAGACATCCTGAAACAGAAGCCCTTTTAAATCAGTCTTACTATAAATTGGAACTAAAATACAGGAAAGTTTATCAGTTGAAATAATGTACATTTCATACAAAAGTGTGATGGTAAGTAAAGTCTTTGAGTTTTCTATCATCAAGTTATCATAGTTTGTCATTATAACAGTATTTTGCTTATTTATGTAGTGAACAAACTGTTTGTTCTTTTCTACTCCCCCTTCATGTCATTCTGCAGGCTAGACTATATGAATTTTTCCGGGAAAAATCCAGTGATAATGACCAAAAAAGAATCAGAAGGCAGTGAAGGAATAAAAGACACGTTGTTTGATGTTGTGAAAGAAACTTCAGAACTGAAACCTAAACAAGATGGAAGTGATTGTTCCTTTCTGGCATTGTTTGAAGATGAGAGCAAGCCAATCAATATTAATCCTCCCACAAAACATTTTAATCTTTTTGTTAACCAAAGCAGCACTGACATGTTTTTCATGGATCCAGATGATAGAAATGAAATGACCAATAAAAATTATCCTTACTATGCTAGAGAGGCTTATTCTGCAAACAATGAAAAAAAATATTCTGTAGGCAGACACCTTGAAGGCATTTTCACAGCTCCAGAACAGGTTTTACTTAAAAGTAACAATGTCTTAAGGGCAAGCTGCCAGAAAAGCAGTGAACTTCATAACACTCACCTGCAGGACTGTCACAGGGGACAGCACTACTTCATAGCCTCTGAAGAGAAAGGAACACCTTCAAACCTTGAGAAAATTGGTACGTGACAGTACTTTAAGGACGTATATTCTGGGCTTCATTCTCCTTTTAAAGACATAAGTTTTTATAACCAGAGATGTTTCTGCCCTGACTGAAAAAAATGTCATGAATGTTCAAGATGCAGTAATTTAATTTTAAATCAATATTTAAGTTATTTTTTGAAGTTCACAGAAGCATTTATTTTCAAATTATGTTTATGCATTTTAAAATCAAAGGTTACTTTTTTTTGTTTTTATTCTAGAGACTTCTGCTTATCACCATGATCAGTGGACTAACTTACAGGAGAGTGTGCAGAACTATTCAAGACAAAAAAGGTGAGTGCCACAGAAATTATCAATCCCTTAACTAGCGATAGCTGCAGAGATGCTGCTGAATTGAAGACATCCTAAGAGGACATGAAAGCAAAATTCTAACCCGTATTAGTGAGGACTAAAGTTTTCTCAGTGGAAATAGTTGTGACTAATGTGAATAAACTTATGCTCAAGTAAGCCCTTTGTACCACTGTTCATCTGCCTATAAAAAGTACAGATAAAGTCTGCTTCTTGGGACAGTTTTGAGTCTCTGAAGCTAAGCTGTTGCTCTGACTTGCCCTCTGAAAGCCCCTGTCTCCTTCCACTGACTGCAGTGGAAGCTAATGTCTTCCATCAGCTAAAGTTAGCAGGTGTAAGTGCCCCATGTTTTACAAAAAACTGTTTTATCAAAGACTCTGGTCCATAACACCTTTCGTTTTACAAAGCAGCAGCACTATCTTCTATCATCTCCCATATTAGATTTGAATTTCAACGTAAACAAATTTTGTGAAAAACAGATGATTGGTGTTAAATCTGAGGTTCAGAAATAAGTGCAGTGATTTCAATAGTGGGAAGCATTTCAGACAAAATACAATTTGAAAGACAAAAAAAATCACCAGTAATTACTTTAATTCTGAAAGAAGTACAGGAGAGGAAATCACTTACCAGAGAACTCTGTGTTTGCATCCGTCAGTGACAACGAGTCTGTGGGAGAATCAGCCTGGAGACAGAACCAGCTCTTTGGATTTGAAGAGGTAACTTTTTAAAGAAAGAGGTGCATTTTTTATCAAACCTATTGTTTGCACCATTAGAAAGAGTGTCCACAATAGTTAGTAACTGAATATAGCTTCACTGGATTAACTTCTGTGGAAGATTCTTTTCTGCCATGGTGTATATAAGGAATCCAGAAAGAACATCTAGTTAAGTGATTCAGATAGACAACCCATAATTTCATGTCCATAATTTACATGTCTTGATTCATACCTAAGCTCGTATCTGAAATACATTGTGTAAGTAAGTTACCATTAACCCTTAGGATCAGATTCTGCAGGCAGTTCTCAGACATTATATGCAGGACACTTCAGTATTATAAAGGAGCTTTATGCCAGCATACATATAAGTCTTTTAGATATTTTGCCTGTAGAAGTCACCCAGGTACATACAGTGTTGCTCAGGTGTTTTGTACCTCTTAAATTAATTTGCAGTACAGTGCCGTGAGTCCTTTATGTACTACAGAAACTGAATGGTCCCCCCCTAACCTAAGGTGCTGATCCAGCTGAACCCTCACTATTAACACTTCATTATTTTTAAAAGTTCACAACAGCACAAGAGTTCAGAGTGAGTTCAAGTCTGCACCAGATGAAGAAGGGTTAGTACTATTTATACATTATTAATTACAAAATCAGGTTTTCCTCTACGTGTGAAACTGAAACAGTGACTTGTAAAGCCAGGGAGAAGTGTTCTGATCTTTTCAGGATGTTACATTTGATGAGGGTTTGTTATATTGATTCATGCAGCACTATATAAAGACAGCTAGCATTACCAGGTAACTAAGAACTGTGTTTGCTTTTCTTTGAAGAGACAAATTCAGGTTAACTAACTCCTCGCTGGTGAGTATTACACACATATTTGTTTTACCTTGTCCCATTTCCTCCAGAGTTGTCCGCTAAACAGAAAAGCCAGCTCTGAAAGTAGGAGTAACTGCTAAAACCCCTATAAATTAATCCAAAAGAGAGGTCAAGAATATTGATGTGAGCACCAGAGCTGAACTTTACTAACATCACCATATAGTGAAAGTTCCAAGTAGATGCCAGTAACTTCCTAATTCCTGAAGACGTCTGCTGATTGGAAGAAATCTTGGACATGTTTTCTATATTAATTAATATCTTCATTAGATGTTTGACATGTGCCATTTTACTCATCATTCCACACATGGAAAGAGTGAGGGGAGTCAGCAGGGAGATCCCACCTTCTTTTTTGCTTCCCCAGTAGCAGTAGGGGTCAGCTGTGCTGCTGCATTTCAGAGCAGGTATCTCCCAAGGGCCTCCAAGAGAAAAACATGTAACTTGTATGGCAGCCAACCTGTGCAGGCAGTTTGCTACATTCTTTCCCTGGCCTTGCTCTTCAGAGTCCTTCCTGCTTTTGAGTTGCACAGTCCTGCTGCTGGTGCAGGCTGCTGATTAACAGCGTGGCTGAAGCTTTGGGGGACCTATCTCACACTTCCTGTTAAGATGTGTTGTCCTGAGAGAATTGGCTATTATCAAGAATTAGATTGACCTCACTAACACTTTAAACAGTATCTTGAAATTGCATCAGATGCAGTAATGTTTAATTCTACATGCTGTACTTGAGAATTGGATGTTTGGGGAAATTTTTGGTGAGTTGGTAACCTTTCCTTTCATCTCGTTTTTTCAGCTGTGGAGTCATCACTGAGCAGCCAGTCTCCCATTTACTCCCCAAGGCAGACAGAAAGCTATTTCAGCTCCAGTCCTGACATGGTGAGTACTGCCCCTTTATGGGTTTGCAGGGTTCATTTGAATAATACCTGTATTTCTGCGTGCATCTAAGGGTGGGTGTAGCAGGAATGTTATTTACGGTTTCATTTTGTACAAAGCAACTTCATGTGCGAGGAAGACAAGAAATTATAAGCTATAAGTTTTCCTAAACAGTTTACCAGACGTGGTCTGGCTGTGGATAATGCCAGGGCGAATTACAGTAATATCACTGTGGGAAGATGCTAAGCAAGCTTCTTGATGTATAGCTGCCTTACATTATGTACCTCAAGCTGCACCAGGGGAAGTTTAGCCTGGATATTAGGAAAAATATCTTGACTGAAACAGTGATCAGGCATTGGAACAGGCTGCCCAGGGAAGTGGTGGAAAGTGTTCAAAAACCGTGTAGATGAGACCCTCAGTGACATGGTTTAGTGGTGGACTTGGCAGTCCTGGGGTAAAGGTTGGACTTGATCTTCAAGGTCCTTTCCAACCTAGTTGATGCAATGATTCTATGTCTGTAAGGCAGGAGGATTTGACACACTCGGTGTTTTCACCCACGCTTGAACACGAACATAACACAATGTAAGAATGTAAGCTCTGTGTGTGAGGGAAGATGTGCCTTACCTGCTTTCTCTTTCACAAAGGCCAGGAACACACCCTTGGAGAAAGAATGGGGGGGGGAGAGATAGGAGAGAAACAAAACCAAACACAATCCAAAAGGCAAACAAACAAAAGCGGACAGTTCTGGCCTTTCTGTATATTTCATGAACTTAGTTATTAGTTAGTCATTAACTTAGTCCTTAGTTACTGAACTGCTTAAACAGTTGCATTCACTCAATTCTGTTCAAACAGTCTGAAGAGGAAGACACAGCCCAAAAGATGAAATACAGGGATGAACAATCTTTGAAGAAAGATGATGCCAACCTATCCTCAGAGCCGCTTAAGACTTCTGACACCGGAACTGTGCTTATCCAGCCCAGCAGTATTTTGACTAGAGAAGAAGCAAACCACCCTCATGAGAAAAAATCTACTTTATGTGCGCCGGAGGAGGAAAATGAAGTCCACACTGCCCCATCTGAGGGCAGCTCGTTATACCAAGCCCATAAGGGAGAGCCTGTCACTCGCAGTAGCAGGCACGATGTCTGCGTGCAGACGGAAGGCTCTGTGACACAAGTAAGTAAGGTGGATGCTGCCACCCAGTGTGGCCCTACACCGGTGTGCAGCTGTGGGCGCCCCCTCCCCTCGGTCCCTAGCACCGCTGGAGGGCACAAAATGCCAGCGCAGGAGAAGCTGCAGCCTCCAGGCTCCGGCACCGCGGCAGCACCCGCCGCGTTTTCTCCTGACACCGAGTACCTGAGTTTAGCTGGCAGAACGACTCTAGAGGTGCTGAACTACATTGATATAATGAAGGAGAGAGAAAAGCAGTGACCAGCTAGGACAGCACGTAAGGAATACAGAAGTTTTGTCCTGTTCTCAGTGTGCTTCATTTAATTGGCTTATTTGGATTTTTCTGTCCTGTTTGGACAAAATGTTGTTGTTGTTTTTTTTTTTTTTTTCTGTTTGTTTGCTTTTAATTATTATTAACTATGGATTTCTATCTACCTCCTGCTATCTTTAACCATGAATTTCTATAGATCTCCAACTATTAACATAGGACTTTACAATAGTTTAGTAAATACAGCCTTAGGAATTATCTTGGCTTCCCCACATATATTTGTAGGATTCTGTAGTTTGGGATTGACTTTGCTTCTCTGGAAGGAAGTGGAAAAGTTCTGTTTCACTTCAGAACATATTTATTTGATGCAGCTCTTAGTTCAGAACTATTGTCAGATTTTTAGCCATTTTAACAGACAAATTAGCCTTTGCTGCTTGTTTGGGCTAAACACAAAAATGTAAAACAACAGAAAAGGTACATCTGCATGCATAGATTAGAATGTGATTAATTAATTTTTACCAAAACAAACAAAATTTTGATTATTTTTCCTTCCACAGCAGCTCTATTGATTCATTCTCTGTCTGTTAATACTGACAGATCTTGTATGTGTTTCTGTATTTTACCTGCAGGTTGAAAATCTGAAATGCTTTCCTCTTCAGTATTTGTATAAAGTTAGAAATCTCAACAAATAAAAGTTCCTGATAATACTGTTTCTGGGTGATACTCTTCTAAAGAAGTTCCTAATAAAGACAGCAGGGAGGCTCACTCTTTTACTGACATCTTATATATCCATACATCTTTATTTGTATATACATCTATCTACATCATATATGTGAGGATGTGTCTGTGTATATGCTGGCATTAGCCAGCTGGCTGCATGCAGGGATCATTGCAAACTGGACTTAAAAAAGCTATGCTGGAGACTACTCCTTAAACAGCGCAGATTTGTTTTTCCAAGCAAATGTTGTACTTTCTCCCTTGGAGGCAGCTGGTGGAAGATTCACTGCTCTTATTCCTATCAATCAGGTGGGTTTCTTTTATTTGTATGTTTGTTTTGTGAAGGTTTTGTGAAGCTGTGTGTCACCCATCCTTGATGAGACCCATCACCATTCTTTGTCTCTGTTCTCATCATCAAACTAGTGGCTGTGTTTTCTGCCAGGTTTTATTTTGGAAGCTAAAACCCATTTTTAAAAGCAGGTCTGCATTGCTCAACAGTTTGCAGGTTTATGGGTCTGCTACTTTAAAAATAGCATCTTAGAAATTTCAGGGGACTTTTCTGTACTTGGAAGAAAATTGTGTTGTCTCTTATATATAGAAATGGCATACATGGGAAGTGGTTTACACAGCCAGACTTCTGAAATGTGTAACTATCATTTAGCCAATTTGCTGCCCACTTCCTAAGGCTTGACATAGGCAGATTTTCTTTTTTTAGGTTGCCTCAACTTATTGCCAAGGCAAGCTCCCTAGTGATTTATTACTTTTTTTAAAAATCTGAAACTGCAATGTTCTTCTTCTTTTCAGGAGCTATAATTTATTTCTGTAACAGCTGTGATTTGCTGAAAGCTCAGCTATCTCTGGTGGTTTGTAAGGCACAGTCGTTCACTCTGCATTGTGAAGTCCATTCAGAGTGTGCCACACCAGCAGCAGCCCATGCTGGCTTCAAGGAGTCCCTCTCCAATGTCTGCACTTTCCCAGCAATCCCCCATGCCTGGTACATACCTGGCAATCTTTCCAGTGGTGCATGTCCCATACCATGCCCTTCCCCAC